GTTGAGAGCATGTCCAAGGGCAGATGCTGGAAGCTGCCCCTTCCAAAGGGGATGGACACGTTTTCCCAGGTCACCTCCACATCGGGATGCTGCGGGTGTCAGATGCGACAAACAAAATTCTCCCAGCCCCTGTGTATTCAGTCAGCATCGCTTTGCTTCATAAATCAGAGCTGCCAACTCCCAGCTTGCCGCTAATGAGTTCAGCCCAACCAATATCGCTTCACCCCCATGCCAGGCTCACAGGTAAAAGTGCTGAGAAAAATCCTCCCTGATTTATGAGCAAAGCCGGCGTGACCTGGAAGAAATCAGGGCGGCATAAGGTGGGATGAGGTTTTGCACTCCCAGGTGCCATGGCATGGGGAAGGGCCCTGCTCCAGCCGGGAGATGAAAACCAGCCTGCATGAGCAGTCACCAGCATGTAGGAAAGTGCTGGAAAACTCGAAGGTCCAACTCATGACACCTAAGGAAGCAACAATTATAGGTACTTTCTATTTTAAAGTCCATTTAGGGAAGCAAATATCTTCTTATTTATGCTCCAGTGTAGCTGCAGCCCCTTGGACGCTCCCCAAATTACTGTCAGTGTCCTACCGGTGTCCTGGGACGAGCCACCGCTGTCCAAAATCCCAGCTACCGCAGCTGATGCAACCCATGAGGCTACGGGGGCTGAAGCTGGTTTCACCCCACAGGAAGGGTGAACTGCCAGGCCAGCTCCGGTCTGACAGCCCACAGCCTTCCCAGCTGCGCTTACAGCTTTTTTCCTCCCCCCATCTCCTTCCCAGCCCGAGCTGCTTTGAGAGATAAAGCGGGTGGAGAAGGGCACGTTGGCTGTGCTATGTGAAACGTCTTCCGATTACCCACAGGATGGCAAGAGTTTGCCTTCTTACGAAGGAAAACACTTTTCCTTTCGCCTAGGAAAGGCATAGCTGCCGTCATGGCCCTCTTTCGCTGCGACCCCCCTTCCCCACTACCGGAGGGCTGCTGAAGTCTGAGGGAAAGGAGCTGGCACTATCCACTACACAGAAAATAATACCCACAACCTGAGCGATCTCAAAAACAGACTTTTGGAAGTACCTAAATAAACTGGACAGGCTTGTTCAAGGTGAGACCTGCTCAGACTGACCGTCCTCCACCAGCTCAGCCCCTCTGGAGGCTGGGAAACACCAGATGCATCCAGTAACAAACTGGTGCTCGGCACTCACTTATCTATCACCTGGATCTGTGCTGTATTCCCAGATTTGAGAGCTTTATGTTTGCAAGGTCGGGGAGGAAAGCAGAAGGGAGGACAGCTCCGGCTGTGCCCGGCTCCCCGTGGCAGCTCCCTCAGCTCCTGAAGCCCCATGGGAAGCTCTGGGTCGGCATGGGGAGATTTCGATGGCAGGGGCTGGGACTTATTTCCCATAGTGTACATACACACTGCGGTGATCAAAAAGTGTCTTTCACTACACAAATCGAAACGCCACGCTCAGGCTCTCAGACTGTCTCACACCTACAATACAAACGGTACCAAACCCTGCTGGTTCTTCCTCAAAACCCAAACTGGAAATGCAGATTCAGACAAGGGCTTGTGCGTTTTCCCATTCCTCCACTGCATGGCCTTGCTTCCTAGTCTGAAAGGTGTTGGATGAGAAATAGTAGATCCTTGCTCCTTATTTAGGTGCTGGAAAATCCTTCTGCCAAACCTGGGGCTAATCGGGCACGGTACTTAGGCTGAAATCTCATTAGGGGCTGGAGCGAGGAGGGAGGCTCTGCAGATGGCAGAGCACAGGTCCTGAAGCAGAGCATGCCATTACTGTGCTCCATATAATACCTAAAACTAAATTCTGCATGTTAGAGCAGCACGGTGGTTGTCCCAGGAACATCCTCTCACAATGTAAGTGCAGGCAGGGATTGCCAAACCAGGCAGCTGCCTGCTGTCCCACCAAGCAAAGCCCCTTCACTTTCCCCACACCCCATCCAGCAACAACCCAGTTTGTGCCACAGGATGGCCCCCAAACTTTTCCCACCTAAAACCGCTTCCCCAGGTGGTTTTGCCAACAACAGCCATGCTTCATGGGGCTGGGACACTCAAATCCTTGGTCTCACTGCTGCCGCTCGCTGCCCGTGACCCAACAAATGCCCAGCGGGCTCGCAGCAGCTCCGGGGAGCAGAGCCAGTGCTGGTGTCCCTGCCTTTCCAGTGTCTTTCATCTACAACGGGAATAAACCCTCCGCAGCCGCTGGAGACACGACAGAAGCTCTCTCTGCACAAAGGAGAGTGTGACAAGTGGGATTTTTTTTCTTTGGGAAATCAACTCAGACAGCCACAGCAGAGAGCGGTGCAGCCACTTCCCAGCGCTGACATGCGACTGAGGCAGAGGAAACTCA